GTCTCTAATTCCATTGTTTTCTTTTGTGTCTATTTAACCATTACACCTTGACTATTAGATTTTGTTTCATGGGCTTTTAGAGTCATTTTCATCCGTCTGTGAAACATTTACTACTAGTCAGTGTTTAATAGTAACTATTAGGGTGCAGTAGGCTACGAAAAGGCAAAATCAAAGCCGTGTTTGCCTAATTAGTCTGTCGCATGTCATAAGTTAAACTATTGGGAGCTAATAGGGGGTAATAGTATTTAATAGTACAATCCTATTTCATAGACGGATGAAAATGACTATAATGATTCTAGGATTAGCCTAAGTCTGCGGCTGTTAACTTAAATGCCACCAATCAGATGTAATCTTCATTTCTGATATTTCGTCGGGTACAATTGAATAAGCTATCGTTCTCATAGTTATTAACTATAAATTAAAAGCGCTCACCTTTTAAACCATTCTTACATTTCACAGTACACGCGCCCCCACTGCAGCAAAGTCCGTCCGTCTCATCCAGTTCTATCTCCCCTTTTGGGACTTGGAAAATTTGAAAATTCCACGAGACATTCACTAGCAAAGCTAKCAAAGTCGCTTTGAAAAACATCTTGAAATATGTGTGGGAATATCGATCCTATAATGGCCAAAGTTACCACTCTTTAGAAGGAATTTAGCCAGTGTCTTTTTTGGTATTTTAGTATTTTGATTTTTCTTGTATAATTTGAAGTGTTAAAACGTACCATTTCTTGCTAATTTGCCACCTTCGTTTTGTGTGATATGTGTCTTTCTACACGTATTTTCAGTCAACTTGACGGATGCTATTTTCGGTTCATAACCCTTTGAAGTCTTTTTTAATAATGGATGTATTTTGCTTTCTTTTTTTAGTATTTTAGCTGTCGCTGTTACGTTTATTGTTGCTCTTGTTGTTGTGGTGGTGGTGGTGGTCACCGAGTCTTTTTTGCTGCTGCTGTTGTTGTTGTTGTCGTTGTTTTAGACGTTAATGCTGTTTTTTGCAGTCCATGTTGTGACTTTAAGTTGTCACTGCTGTTGTGCTAAATTTCGCTGTCCATGTTGCTGTTTTGGCTCAATTGTCCTAGCTTCTTATCTCAATGAATTGGACACAAAGTTCAATAAGCTCTCATAAGTGATTAAAAAACAACAACGTTGAATGATATATATCTGAAGACCATTAGTTCTCTTTGTCAGTTACAAAGAAAAATTTAGTTTAAACACCTTAACATTGCTGTATCAAATACCACAGGAATCCCACTCATGAGTAATATAGATAAAGTTTAGCACCGCTGTGTATTCTGTACGCTTTTAAAGTTGCCTTTGTGTTTTTGTATTCTATCTTGTTGTCCGGGTTGTACAACATTAGTGACAACGTTCGACTTTTACAAGGGTAGCTTTCTTTATGTGACGCTAACTTCTTTGAACGATGAAAGATGTAACATAGCTGGTCGATTAGGTACCCTATTGTAGATGTATCCTCAACACCTATCGTTACATGTTCCCTTGGTACCCAGTACTCCTTGGTTTCAGAACTGGCGTGGATGATAAGCTGTTCTGGAAGCGAAAAAAAAGCTCTGTAAATCCGTGAAACGTACATAATTTACTTGTTAATGTGTAATAGTCAAATACACACAAAGGAAAACAATGGAATTAGAGACTACTAAGGTGTATTAGTCTAATAGAGTGAGGACATTAAACCTATGAAAATAAATCTAATAATCAAGATGTAATAGTCAAATAGACACAAAAGAAAACAATGGAATTAGAGACTACTAAGGTGTATTAACCAAAATTGTGATAGATACATTCTTTTAGTTG